ATCCTTGGAATTTAATGAATTATTATTCTTGCTTGTTAAGGAATTAATTGTTACTCCTGTAAATGAGATTTAATTGATAAATTGGAATTTATTTGAATTGAAGGAATTTAATTAATATATTGAGAATTGTTACATTTGAAGGAATTTGATTATTTCCGCTGATTAAATAAATTATTGTAAATCCTGTAAATCATGCTGATTTAAATATTCTAGTTTTATTTCAATTATTATTGACCCATAGTGAGTGTCAAGGTCGGCCATCTCGTCTCTACCACTTCGAGATTAGGCTTGATACTTACTGGGTACACGTTGTTTACGTACTCATACTACACTTGCTGCACTTTTTGTGCAGGATCTGAGATAAGTACTAGTGGAGGACCTATCATCACATACCTACGTCATCCCAAGGCATAGTGGTGAGCTGCCTTTCTGAGCCGTTCTGCAGCTACCAGTGTCTCTTCTGATATTTATATTCTGTCTATTTCATTTCAGACAATATTTGGAGTTTTGTATAATCTACTAGATGCTCATGCACTTGTGACACCGGGTCTTGGAACACACATTGGTAGAAGTTGGTATTTTATTATTTTCTTGGAATAAAAGTTTAACCAATGTACGATTGACTTATTAGTTGGCTTGCCTAGCTGTAGTGTTGGGCGCCACCTAAACAGCTCTCGCTTCTCTCTACTTTCTCTCTCTAGAGAACGATAGTGAATTTACCGTGCTCAACCATTGAAAATGGCCAGAGGAAGGTCGGCGAAGAATCAAAATAACAAGACGGCAGTGTCCATTGAGGCTATAGCCAAAAGGATTGGTGTAACGGATGCATGCAAGGAGGGCGAAGGAAACGAAGAGGAATCAGACTGGCCAACCTTGCCAAATCGGAGGAGTGGATCTAATACACCACTCTCCGGTGCAATTATCACTGGAATTATGCAAACGAGCAGTAATCAGAACAAAGGAACTCCTCAATCAGTGGTTTCAGCACATGTAAGTGGTGAACTTCCACAGAAGGACCACAAGGCACAAGAAAATGACAAGGTGACAGAAATACAGAAGGTACTGGAGGAACCACAGGTGAAGGGACCTGAGAATAAGACATGGGCAAATCTAGTGGGTAATAACCGTTTCGGATTGAGAGGCATGAATCTCAGCTTTGTGGCTCCAATAATGCAAAATGAGGAAACTATAGTGGAATTATTGAAAAATGAGGTGGAGAAGGAAACAGAGAAATGGAGGAATGCTATAATAGTATATGTAGTAGGAACCACACCTACGATCAGAGCTCTGGAAAGGTTTGTTGCTAGCCAATGGAATTATTTGTCAAAACCTATGATATTCTACCATAATGAAGGATATTTTGTTATAAAATTCACTAATATGGATGATAGAGATGCGATTCTGTATTCTAGACCTCATACTATTGGCAATAAACCTATAATCACAAAAGGCCGGGCACTTGACTTTAATTTCAAGGATGAAAATTTAAAACTATTCCACTGTGGGTCACTTTGCCAAATCTCCCATTGAATTGCTGGAGTGCTGATTCTCTGAGTAGGATTGGGAGTGGGCTAGGGGCACCTTTGTACGTAGATGAGTGTACATCTAAAATGGAAAGGATATCATATGCTCGAATACTTGTAGAAATGGATGTAACAGTGCCACTTCCTATAGCTGTCAAGGTGCAGGACCCAAATGGAAGGAAATTTAGTCAAAGGGTGGATTATATGTGGAAACCAGAATACTGTGAAACATGTTTGATGATTGCGCATTGCTGTAAAGAGATAAGGCAGTAGGAAAATTCAAAAACTGTGAGGATCAATGTGTAGAAGAAAGTGTGGCAAGTCAAAGGGGCAACATGTCAAATGAAGGGAAAAGAGAAAGATATAGAGAAAGCAAACACTAAAGAGGGAAAGCAAGCAGAAACATATAGCAATGAAGGATGGCAGGAAGTTAAAGGAAAATTAGCAGCAAAAATAACACATGTAATTGATGATGGAAGGGTGAGCATAACAAATGGCGTTACTGTCCTCAACAAGCAGAATGAGCACCAGCAGCAATCAGATCAAGTAAGACCAGTTAAGAGAGGTCAATGTAGTAGGAATGGGAACACTGAGGTAGTGCAAACTCTGTTTACTCAGATATGAAAATAGTAGCTTGGAATATTAGAGGCCTCAATAAGAGTTTCAAGCAAAATGAGTTAAGTAGATTTATTATTACAAATAAAATAAGCCTAATGGCTATAGTAGAGTATAAAGTTACTGAAGTAAAAGGAAAGCAGATAATGAAGAAGATTGCAGCAGGTTGGAGTTGGGCTACCAACTATGATGGAAATGGCAAAGGAAGGATATGGGTAATATGGGATCCTAACATCATTCAATTTAGTAAAATGTGGAAGAGCAATCAACTGATACATGGAAAGGTGACTATTGGTGCAGGCAGTATACAGTTCTACTTTACAGCAGTATATGGCTTACATACTATTGAAGATAGAAAAATCTTATAGCATGAACTAGAAGGGATTCATAATGGAACTGATGGGGCATGGATTGCAATGGGAGACTATAATGCAATATTGGGAGTTGAAGACACGAAACGTGACAACCCAGTGCAAGAAGTGGAAATAAGGGACTTTAGGGATTTCATGTTGAACAATAACATGAATGAACTAAAATATATAGGGAGGAAATACACATGGACAAACAACCATATGTGGAGCAAATACATAGATCCATAGTCAATACATAATGGATGACTATAATGAAACAAATGGAAGTGATAGTGATAGATCCTTTCATATCTAATCACACTCCTCTGAGTATTCATTTTGATGAAACAGGACGGGGGGTCCAAAGCCATACAGATTCTATAATTATGTAGCTGAAAATCCAGAGTTCTTAAAAGTGGTGGAGAAGGCATGGAGTACATCTAATAAGTGGCAAGGAATGGAGAAAGTGTGGTAGAAACTTAAACTGGTAAAATATGAATTGAAGAAGTTGCATACTGAGGAGTTCAAAGGGGTTAGAGAGAAAGTCCAAATAATTAGAAGGCAACTACAAGAGACACAAGAGAAAATGCAGGATCCAGATCACCAAACATCTCTGTTTTATACTGAGAAGGAGCTGAGAGGTAAATTAGAAAAATGGGGAGTGATAGAGAAAAGTATTATGAGGCAAAAATCAAGAACACAATGGTTAAAGCTTGGGAATTCATATAGTGCATACTTCTATGCATATCTGAAGAATAGAACTTCTATGAATAGTATCAAATCTCTTATGAATCAAGATGGCAAGCTGCTGCAAAATGAACAAGAGGTGAAGGAGGAAGTAGTGGGATTTTATAAAGAACTACTGGGGAATGCTGCTGAACAAATGCCTATGATTAATCCAGAAATAATAAGAAATGGTCCAATGCTGACAAGAGAACAACAATTGAAGCTAATAGAGCCAATCACCACAGAGGAACTTTGCATTGCAATGAAGAACATAGACGAAAATAAAGCCCCAGGATGTGATGGTTTCAATACTTTTTTCTTTAAGAAAGCATGGTCGATTATATGGAAAGATGTGATTAATGTAACAAAATATTTCTTTGCCACTGAGGAGATATATAAGCCAATCAACTGCACTGTTGTGACTTTTATCCCAAAGGTTAAAAATCCAAGTTCAATTAAAGAGTACAAACCAATCTCTTGTTGTACTGTGTTGTATAAGGTAATATCAAAGGTGCTCACTACAAGGATGCAAATGGTTATGGATAGCCTTATTGATGTAAGTCAGGCTGCCTTTGTGCCAGGAAGGATTATCTCTGATAACATTATACTAAGCCATGAATTAGTGAAGGGATATTGGAGGAAGGGGATAACTCCAAGATGTATGATTAAACTAGACATGCAAAAAGCTTATGATTCATTAGAATGATGTTTTCTGAAGCAGATTCTGATGACAATGAATTTTCCTACCAGATTTGTGCAATGGATTATGAAATGTCTTACTATTGTGTCCTATTCTATCCAGATAAATGGCAGGCCTACAAGTCCTTTCCCAGCAAGAAAAGGGCTAAGACAGGGGGATCCACTGTCTCCATTCCTATTTGTCTTAGCCATGGATTACCTAAGCAGGTTGCTAAGAACACTGAAGAACCAGCCAGATCTCAATTACCATCCAAGATGTAAGAAATTACAAATTATCCAATTGGGGTTTGCTGATGATCTATTGTTGCTCTGTATAGGAGATGAAGTATCTATCCAAATGCTCTATAACTGTTTCATGGAGTTCTCTAGGGTGTCAGGTTTGAAAGAAAATAAGAGCAAGCGCTCTATATATTTTGGTGGTGTGAGCTTAGCAGTGCAACATATTGTTATGGATAAACTTAGTTTCTCAAAAGGAGAACTGCCTATAAGATATCTAGGAGTCCCACTAAGCACAAAAAGGATGTCAATCATACAGTTCCAACCATTGTTAGATAGGATGATTGGTAGAATAACATCATAGACTGCAAAGTTTCTTTCATATGCTGGTCGACTTCAATTGATCAAGAGTGTCATGTTATCAATCCAAATTTACTGGTCCCAAATATTTGTCTTCCCAAAGAAGGTGATCCATCTCATAGAATCGATATGCAGAAAGCTCTTATGGTCTGGGGGTGTTGATATGTCAAAAAGAGCTTCAGTTGCATGGGACAAATTGTGTCAACCAAAAGCTACTGAGGGATGGAACTTGCTAGACATAGCATTGTGGAACAAGGCTTCCATATGTAAACTGTTATGGAATTTAGCTCAAAAAAAGGAGAGGTTATGGGTACAGTGGATTCATATTTTCTATGAGAAAGGCAGAGATATAAGACATATTGAGCCTAAGCAAGCTTCATGGCTGGTGAAAAAGATATTGAAGGCAAAGCAATACATGTTAGATGCTGGTGTTAACATGACAGAGATATTTGAGAAGGAGTACATAACCATCAATAGCATATACAAGTAGTTAAGAAGTGAACAACAGAAGATGCCTTGGAGGAAACCGGTACGCAATAATGGTGGAATGCCAAAATGGACTTTCATTCTATATTTGGCTATCCTGGGCAAGCTGAATACAAGAGACAAACTAGCAAGATGGGGGGTGACTAATGAGCCATTGTATCCTCTGTGCAATATAGAAGAGGAAAGCATTGAGCACTTATTTTTCAAATGCACTTTTGCAGCATCAATATGGAGGAAACTACTGCAATGGATGGGTATCAATAGGCAAGCTATGAAGTGGTGTCAAGAAGTAGAATGGGCATACAGTAATGCAAAAGGCAGATCAGCAAATGCTGAGATATATAGAATAGCTCTAGCGGGTTGTGTCTACTATGTGTTGCAGGAACGAAACCACAGGATTTTCAGAGCTCAGCAAAGTCAAGTATGGATAATGATAAAGCAAATTATACAAATGATATGGGGAAGGGGCTATATGATGCCAAGAATAAGAAGAAGTCTTGAAGAGTTAAACTTCTATCCATGAGCAAAAGATGAAGTACTGGCAGCACATACAATTGATACAAAATGGACTGATAGTCAGTAGGTAGTATAGGGAGTTTTTTTGGTGATACTAAGGCCTGGGAAGATGTCCAGACTTAGTGATTTTTGTTTGAGCTGTAACTTTCGTGCTTTGGTAATAAAATATGATAATTACCAAAAAGAAAAGTTGTATTTGGTTGTATTTTATTTATAGTTGTATTTTTTTTAATGTTGTATGAAAGTTAAAAATTAGTTGTATAATGTATGAGTCGTTATATAAAATTTGTATTTAATTTATAAATACTATCTTTTTACATAAAGTTGTTGATATATACATCAAAATTGTATCAAGCGAGGACGTTTTGATTGGAATTTCAGAGACGAAAAAGAACACACCACATACAAAATATATACAAAAGACATTGTATGAAATTTGTATGAAAATTATATTTAAATTGTATGATATTTTAGTTGTATTTAACTGGGTAAGAATGATGTGTGAAAGTTGTAGATAAGTTATAAATAAACTATATATTGTATAATTAATTGTATAAAATTTATTTTTAGTATGTGCATTGTTATAGATATATCAAATTTGTATTAAATTTGTACGAAATTTATTTTTAATGTGTATGTTATTGTACCATATATTATTTTATTCTTACTCGATTTGTTAAAGAAAGAAAAGTAGGGAATGAATTCCAAATTAACTCATATGCACTGATTCATATAAATTCAAATTGACTCACGTGCACTGATTAATGTTTGTTTAAACTGAAAAACTTGAATATTATAGCAGCAATAGTGACTGATAATGGTAATTCATAAGTAACTGATATGATTGCACATGCTAAATTAACTACGGCGAAGGGCCAAATATACCCCTGTACTTTCGAAAATGGTCTAAGAATACACCTCCTTATACTATTGGGTTATCTATACCCCTGCAGTCATACGTTGGGTTCAAATATACCCCTCATTTAAACGGAGGGACACGTGTCATCGTCTTGTTGCTCAATTCTAAATATCTCCTAATTAATTAAAAAGAAGCATTACCCATACCCGAAAAGCAATTTTATTTTTGTAAAAACTGGAAAAAATGAATTTTTTTTACTAAAAGCTGAAAAAACAAAAATATTATTTTCCCAGTTTTTACAAAAAAACTGCTTTAAAAAAACTAAAAAATATTTTCTAAAACAATATTTTTGTAAAAACTGAAAATAAACTGCAAAGCAATTTTCTAAAGCAATTAAAATTGGAAAAACTGATTTTTTTTTAACCTAAAAACTGAAAAAAAAGAAAATATTTATTTTTTCAATTCTTACAAAAACATTGCTTTAGAAAATTGCTTTTAATTTTTTTAGTTTTTATAAAAATAATTTCTTTAGAAATTATTTATCAGTTTTTTTTAAAGCAATATTTTTCTAAAAACTGGAAAAAAATATTTTAAATTTTTTCAGTTTTTAGTAAAAAAACATTCAGTTTTTTTCAGTTTTTACAAAAATATTGTTTTAGAAAATATTTTTCAGATTTTTTGAAAGCAGTTTTTTTCAGTTTTTAGTAAAAAAACATTCAGTTTTTTTCAGTTTTTACAAAAATATTGCTTTAGAAAATTGCTTTTCAGTTTTTACAAAAATATTGTTTTAGAAAATATTTTTCAGATTTTTTGAAAGCAGTTTTTTTCAGTTTTTAGTAAAAGCAAATTCAGTTTTTTCTAGTTTTTACAAAAAAAAAAATTGCTTTAGAAAATTATTTTTCGGGTATGGGTAATGGTTTTTTTAAATTAATTAGGAGATATTTAGAATTGGCCAACAGGACGATAACACATATCCATCCGTTTAAATGAGAGGTATATTTGAACTCAAAGTATGACCGCAGGGGTATAGAAAACCCAATAGTATAACGAGGGGTATTCTTAGACCATTTTCGAAAGTAAATGGGTATATTTGGCCCTTTTCCGAATTAACTATTAGCGTAATTGTTTTTTTTTTAAAGAAAAATTGGAGTTGCGCTACAATATTGTCACGGCCCAATTTCACCTATAGGTCGTGATGACGCCCAATACTACAGTTAGACAAGCCAACTAGTAATTAAAATCCATATTAAATTCTTTAAAAATTAACCGAGTAATTAAACTCTTCTTACTTGCAAGAATTTAGACACTATGAAATGAATTAGTAAATTAAAATAACCAAGAAAAATAAGAAAATCTTAATTCTACCAATGTGTGTGCCAAGATCTGGTGTCACAAGTGTATGAGCATATAGTAGATTATACAAAACTTTATATATTGTCTGAAATAAAATAGACAGAATACAAATACAAGAAGAGGCACTGGTAGCTGCAGAACGGCTCAGAAAAGCAGCTCACCACTACGCCTCTCGATAACGTGGGTGTGCGATGATAGGTCCTCCACTAGTGCCTATCTCAGATCCTGCACAAAACGTGCAGCAAGTGTAGCATGAGTACGTAAACAACGTGTACCCAGTAAGTATCAAGCCTAATCTCGAAGAGGTAGAGACAAGATGACCGACTTTGACACTCACTAAGGGTCAATAATAATAATTAAAATAAAAATAGAATATCTAAATCAACATGTTTCACAGAGTTAACAATAATTTTATTTAACCAGCAGAAATAATTAAATTCATTCAAATGCAACAATTTCCAATCTATTAATTAAATTCACAAACTGCAATTTAAAATATCAAGGTATGGTGTAATTATTATTATTATTAGGCACGATTTCTGCCGAGGTCGTACGGCCCGATCCAGAGTGTCGTGTACACTGCCGAGGGACGCGCAGCACAATCTATAGATGCATCTATATTGCCAAGGCGTTCGGCCCGCTCCACAAGAAAGGAGGACATTTTCTTATATACCTCCGGAAGGAGAGTATATTTATTATAGGATTAATTCGAGAGGATGAACAATTTCTTTTAACAATAAATTTATTTAAACAAAAAATTAAGTATATGAGATTTTCATCTTTTACTAACTTTCCTTAACAATTCACAATATATTTCAAATAATTTATTGAAATAAAGAATACAATTTACATACATAATTCATGATTTCAGTCCTAATCTATCCGGAATTTAGCATAAATAGTAGCTATATACAGACTCTCTTCACCTCGTGTGTACGTAGCCCCCACAATTATCAACAATTATTAATTTAATCACCTATGGGGTAAATTCTCCCTCATAAGATTAGACAAGAGACTTACCTCAACTTGCTCCAATTTAATCCACTAGAATGCCTTTTCCTCGATTATCCAACTCTGTATGGCTTGAATCTAGCCAAAATATTTCGATACAATCACTAAAATATATAAGAATCAATTTCATAAGAAAATAATATATTTTTCAATAAAAATTTGAAATTAACTCAAAAATTGTCTGTGGGGCCCACGTCTCGGAATCCGACAAAAGTTACGAAATATGAACGCCCATTCAACCACGAGTCTATCCATATCAAAATTACTAAATTCCGATAACAATTCGGCCCTCA